ACACCAAGCCCAGCCCTGCTTGGCTTCCCCCACAGTTGTGCTCTGCAGAGGGGGAGTCACACAGAGGAAGCGGAAGTCTTCTGGCTCTCCACAGCTGGCCGCCTGCTGGGGCCCAGCTGGGTGCTCTCGTGTCCATCAGATGGCTCAGTCTTTGCCAGAAGGTGAGTCTGCCCTGTTACCCCTAAGGAGACTCCAGTCCACAGGGTGAAGGGGTTGGCCCCGAGCCCAGGTGAGTGGGAGAGCCACTCTTCCCTCATTAGCCTGGAAACAGGCTGCAGGGCTGGGGATGTGGCTCGGGGGTTCAGTGCTGCCCAGCGTGGGCAAGGCCCTGGGTTTGATCTCCAGAACTGCAAAAAATAAGCCGAAACAAGGCCCAATCTCCTCAGCAGGCGCCAGGGACCGCACTCCCCATGAGGACTCATGCCAGCCAAGGTTCTGAGGGGTTTGCACTCTCTCCACCCAACACTGGGAGCAGATGCACTAATTCACCATTCCATGCTAGAACTCATGCTTTTCTCTCCCGTCCACCCCCACAGAATGTGATTCTTTTCTACCAGTCCTTTAAGATCCCCATAAACAAATAAACCAAAAAAAAAAAAAAAGTCCAATAGTAAGAACATATCTGAACAACCAGACAACTGGACAAAGATGTTTATTCCAGGTAGTCTTTTCATATATGATTATTTATAATAGTAAAAAAAAAAAATAGAAACAACTGCAGGGCGCAGTGGTGAGTATCTGTAATCCCAGCAGCTTGGGAGGCTGAGGCAGGAGGATCACAAGTTCAAAGCCAACCTCAGYAACTTAGAGAGACCCTGTCACTAAATAAAATACAAGAAAGGCCTGGGGATATGGCTCAGTGGTTAAGTGCCTCTGGGTTCAATCTCCAGTAAAAAAAAAAAAAAAAAAAAAAAAAATTAGAAACAACCTAAATGTTAAAAAAAATATGGAAAATGTTTAACCAATTAAAATAGCTCCCTATTTTATACTACTATACTAGAGTATACTAATATAGTCACACTTGTGTGTTTGTTTTGGTTTTTTCCTTTTCTATATTTATTTTTTAGTTGTAGTTGGACCCAATACCCTTATCTTATTTATTTATTTTTATGTGGTGCTGAGGATTGAACCCAGGGCCTCGCACGTGCTAGGCGAGTGCTCTATGGCTCAGCCACAACCCCAGCCCTTGTTTTGATTTTGTTTCTGATAGCTTGTTTTCCTTTCTTTTTAGGCTTGCCAGCAATCAGTCTTGACCATATCACTATAAATTAGTGATTCTCGATGAAGGGAGGTGAAGGACCGCTGTGACTCTTCACTGAAACACCACAATGGATGGGTAAAGTTTCTATAATATGATTCATGCTCACACAGTGCCTGGGCAGACAAGATGTTGAGTGAGGTTTCTGTGTGATGCAAGGTGCAACCTGGTGCCTAGGAAGAAACTAGGCATTAGCCAGACCCTAGGAGCATGTTGTCCCAGGAGAGTCTAGGAGAGAGTGGTCAGGGCAGTAAACAGTTCTCTTCAGTGACACTATGCTAATGTGATCAGTACCACAGTGCAATTATTATATATGCAAATTAATCCTTCCAAACATGTTGCCAAATATACTAGCATTCGATGCCATTCTGTTGGGGTTATGTCATGGCAAATACGCCCCCAAATTCTGGGGTTCTGTCTCACTCTTGTAACTCATCCAGTGAGGGTGTTCCTGCTCAGCAACTTGGCTTTCCTCCATACAGTGATTCTAGAACCCAGTCTCCTTCTAACTGTGGCTCTTCCATCCCTGGAGCCTCAGAATCCTGGCAGGTAAAGAGAAAGAATATGAAAAGATCAGCTCTTGCTGCCTGCCTCGGCCTGCAAGTGACCGAGGTCAATTCCAGTCCCCTTCTGTCAGTGGTTACATGGCTCCAGATAGGTGCAGCAGGTGCTGGGAACATAACCCCTGGCTGAGCAGCCACTTCCCAACAACAACTCTGTCCCATGGAAGGAGGACACACGTGCCTGGTGACCCACCAACCCTCTGTGCTGCAACCTACAAAGAGAGCCACCCGGATTTTGTTGCTGTGTCTCATTAAAAAGTAGGAAAAATTCCCAATTCTGGGTATTGTGCCAGTGGAACAATTTCTCCTGCTCCCAGCATTTTGCAAATTGGAAAGTATCTCAGGCCTGGTGGGCACTTGGACATGGTTTCTGCTTCATTCCAGGAAACATGCTAGACCGGCCCTCTGTTCCCATTCCTCCAGCGCCATGTAGTCTGCTCCTCTCTGCACTCTGCACATGTTCCCTTCCCCACCTGCTATGACACTGTCCTTGCTGGGCAGCTCCAGCTCAGGTGCTGGTCCCTACTCTGATCGACGGTCTTCAGGGAAGCAGAGCTGTCTCACCGTCTGTCTGTGGTTGACAGGGTGTAATTACTTCCTGGAGAAAGAAGGGCCCGAGACCACTTTTCCTAGAGGGAGATTAAAGGAATGGTAGGTATTTGGAACTTTTAGGACCTATCTGTACATAGAATCATTAAGAAGCCACAGGAAGGCTGGAGGTATAGCTAAGTAGCAGAGTGCTTGCCCAGTGCAGACCCTGGGTTCAATCCCCAGCACTGCCAAGGGGAAAAAAAAAAAACACAACAACACACATGAGAGTAGGCATAGTGTCCATCCTGCTGGCCACGTAAGCTCACCACTCTGCCCTTGGTGCTTAGCACAGTGTTTCAGAAACCCAGTAGGGCTTCAGAGTCCTGAGTGTCCTGATTGCAGATTGAAGAAAGACAATAGTTATTTGTTGAATGAAAAAGAAAAAAGAATGCTCTTGCTAAATAATTAATGTCAGAAAATGGTAAAGATACAGTGTTATGGAATAAGAATAGAATACTACATAATTTATAATCAGTGTGATCACAATCATGTACATATATATGCTTCAAAAAATCATTTGGTACGTATATATGAACCAAATGAAGAAATCAAATGAATAGGAATACACAAAGCCAGGCATTCGCTTTCTAAATCCAGTTGCATCTTCACAGAAAGAAATATACAAAAATATACAAAAGACCAGAAAGAAATATACAAAAATATTTATCTTTGATTCCTTTTCTTTTTTGAATTGCTATATTTTCCAAGGCTTCTACAATAAGAATACAATCCTTTTACAGATTAAAAAGTCACAATAGGGCTGGGGTTGTGGCTCAGTGGTAGAGTGCTTGCCTCACATGTGTGAGGCACTGGGTTCAATTCTCAGCACCACATATGAATACATGAATAAAATAAAGGTCTATCAACACTAAAAAAAATTTTTTTAAAAGTCACAATAAAACTGGGTGCAGTGGCACATGCCTATAATTCCAGTGATGCAGGAGGATCACAAGCTTGAGGCCAGCCTTGGCAATTTAGTGAAACCCTACCTCAAAATAAAAATTCAAAAAGGCTGGGGGCTATAACTCTGTGTAGTCTCAGTTATGGGGAGGCTGATGTAGGAAGGTCACTTGAGTCCACCGGTTGAGAATCCAGTCTGAGTTTCAAAGAAAAAGTCACAATAAGTTTTGTTGTTATTTTAAAATTTTCTCCTCCAGGAATTATTGTGACCACTTCAAGGAGATTTGGAAGCTCCTCCTCAACATCTTCATAGTATCCTGAATCACTCACTAGTCTCACTGGGTTTTAATTTTTGCTGTCTCTCTTTCAATAAGCCCTGGAGTTCTTTGAGGGATGAGACTGATTGTTTCACCTCAGAATTCTCAGGGCCAGGCACATTTTAAGCATTCCTAAAGATTTGTGAACCAAATGAAGGAATCAAATGAATAGGAGTACACAAAGCTGGGCATTCTCTTCCTAAATCCAGTTGCATCTCCCCAGGGACTAAAGGGACCCAGGATTTCCTGCACTGGTGACTGTAATCTGGGGCCTAGGAAGTAAATGGGAAGCTCTTGAAGAACTGTCTCCTTGAACAGTAAGCACCCGGGTTGCAGAGACCCAGGAAGTGAGAGCCAAAATCCAAGTCGGATTTTCCTGGCCACAGCCAAGACTAGTCACGTGGTGACACTTGGAGATTCCCCTACTCTGCTCATTCCTTTGGGATCACTCACCCCTCCCAAGACCTCCCCTGGGAACAAAGGAAAACCCCGGAATTTGGGATTGGGCTCTTTTCCACCAACAGCTGGCTAGTAGCGTGCATTTAACCCACAATCAAATAAATATGGGGGGAGGGGTAATCGTCCTCTAGGAAACACTAAGGTTTTCCCTAACTTTCTTCCAGAAAATCCTTCTAAAGTGCTTTTAGAGCCAAGCCGACCCATTACTGAGCAAAAAGACACAGACTTGGAAACTTAGTTTTAACCATTTCAACCATACCTGAAACTGAACTGTTGAACCAGCAAAACCACACACACCAGGAGTAGTAAATCCCTCGTTCAACAAAGAATTTGCAACGCCCCTCGAGCTGACAAGCCAAACAGCACCCTCCCTCCCCACCCTGCGGGAAGGTAGGGCAGAAGGTAGGCCCGGACCGGCTCCTTTGCCAGATGCCCGCCCACCGTGGGCGCGGACAGCGGTGGGCGCCCCCTCCCAGCAGCCCTCCGAGGGCCAGATCTGCGAAGGGCCAAGTCCCCAGGGCCTTCCAAGACTTTAGGACTCCACGTGTTCCTCCCTGTCGTGTCATCTAGAAAATAATTCCTCGACCTGTCGGTTACTGGAGAGCCGCCGTCCTCTGGTTCTGGGCCAGCGTGCCCCACCCGCAGGGCGGCTGGGTTCTTTGATTTCCACACTCACCCACTTTATAAAACCAAACCTGAGAGGAAAGGCACRGCCTAGAGGGGGAACGTCCTGAAATGCAGTAGGTGCATTCCTGCCCCCAGAGAGGTCTGCAGGCACGTCCCCCGGGCGGGGTGGGGGTTTGCGAGCGTGGGAAGGGCGTGTGCAGCGCTGGTGCGGGGTGGGCAGGAAGAGAAGGGGTGGGGAGCGCGCCGGGACCGCCAGCCAGGCTCCTCCCGCTCGGCTGCCCCACGCCTCCTGCCTCTCCCCACGTACAAAGGCGCAGGTCCGCTGCGCTCCGCTGGCCGCCGGTTCCAGCTAGCCCTGCGTCTGTGCCGCGCCTCCCCTGCTAGGTGAGTTGGGGCGCGCGCCCCCAGGCAGTCCCCGGCCCAGGATCTGACCCCTGGGGAAGCCTCTCCCCGGCTGCTTTGGCCAGCTGTGCCGGCGTCTCTGGGCGCCCGGGTCACCGCCGGGCCGGGGTGGGGAGCCACTGGCGGGGAATCCGTTGCGCCGCGCGGCAGGCCACACCCAAGCCAGGGGAGCAGCGGCCTCCCCAGCCCTCGCGGACCGGAGAAGGGGGACTTGTCACTACAGCGTCTCGGTGTTGGCGCTTTGGGAACTCCGATCTCCCTCGTTTGCGTTCGGGGTTCTGGACTCACACCTTTCCTACTTTGCGATTAGTCCCCCAAGTTTTGCGCACCCCCGTCCCGCCCTGGCTGGCTGCCCGTGGTGTTGTAGGTTTTGGCTGCAGACGGACCGCAGTCCAGGTGTCCGTACCCTCCTCCCAGTCCGACTCCCCGCGCGGGCCGGGCTGGGCGGCAGGGCTACTGCAGGGCTCCCCTCCTAAAGGGTGCTCCCCTGTTCTTGGCGTGCGCGCGCTGCAGATTGGGCTTCCTGTTTTGGTCGGCTGCACGGGGAGGTCTTGCCGCCGAGGCAAGCATCCATGTGCGTCCTTTATGAAGCCGTGCGGGGGTGTGGGGCGATGGCGGAGAGAATGTATTCCAAAAGTCCCTGCTTACTCTCTGAAGTGCGTGGAACCAGAGATGGGGGAAAGCGGGCGTGAGGAAGGATCTTGCAATCCTAGATCACGCTGGCCCCTTGCAGTGAGACGGACAGAGGTGCCATTGGTACCCGGCTGTGAGCCGAGCTTTGCGCAAGGAATGGCGCTGTCTCCAACCCTGGATCCCGCACTGCCCGGCCTCTGGCAGTCTCTGCCTAACTGAAACCAGGAACTCTGTCATGCTGGGTAGGGGTGGTGGGGAGAGCTGAGCAGCTTAGGGCCAGGCCGGCAAAGCCAGGCCCTGAGCCAGGTCTGGAACACATTAATTCCACTCCCCTAGGCGCCCCCACCCCTCTGGTCCCTTCCAGGGGAAGCTGGAAGCGTTCTACAGGGAGAGGTTAGCACAGAGGGTTCCAGGATCCTCCTGGTGATCTGAGGCCTGTGACTCAGCTGTGAGACCCGTGGGTGTGGCCCTGCTGGTTGCAGTTACTCTCTGTGGATGCTTTGGACAGAACACTCCCTGAAGGAAAAGAACCGTGCCATCTTAGAGGGCATTTTCCGAGAGGAAGTGAGTCACACCAAGACTGGAGGCCAATCTGGAGAGTTTCCTTGACTGAGCTGCTGAGGGTAATACTTAAATGGGCAGGGCCGTGGGGAGACCTGCTAGGTGGTCAGCCAGGTTATTGGCCTTGTGGGGCCCAGCAGCTCGCTGTACTTGGGGTAGGGGCGCCTTTCCCATTGAGAGGTTTGCGGTTGATGCAGAATTCTTTTTTCCTCTGAAATCTGAATTTCAGCCTCCAGGCCTGGATTTTTACATCTTGAACTTCAGGTGAGGGCAGGCCCGTGGAAACACCCGATGGATGATCTTTGCCTCCAGTGTGTTTCAGTAAATTGCAAAAGATAATGCCAGGGATTGGGCAGGAATGAGCTCATATAACTCACTTGAAATTTCTTCATCTGCCCTGTCSGCACAGATTCCAATCCGGCTTCTATTTAATCACCCCTTCTCAGTGACAGCCAGAGGGGAGTCTCATCATGGTGGTCCTTGAGCCAACATTTGAAGTTTCTTGTTTCAGTTCTTCAAATTTTCTAAGTTGACTGGGCATCAGGCAATTGTTTGGGCTCATTCTGATTTCTGGATTTTCTTGGGTACAACATCAGATGAACCCTTGTACTGCCATGTCTGGCCTCTGTCCAGCCTCTGAGCAGCCACCCCTGTGCTGTCAGGCCTTGGGCTGGGTGGGGCTGAGGCTGAGTGCCTCCCAGCTTTCCATTGACAGCTCAAAAAAAATGTGACTTTTTTAGAGCACTACCCACTCAGTATGCCTTTGGACACAGTCCAGTCTTTTAAAGCATAAAGTTGAAGGAAACAATGACATTCTTTCAGGATTATAATGTATAAATTAGGTCTCAGAGTGCTGGAAAAGATGGACTAAATTTTTAGGATCTTTCTTAAGTTCCTCATTTTCCCAGGACAATTTAGGGATCTCACAGCAAAAGCAAAAAGGAAGAATTTGCTTATTTTTAACAATCTTCAGCACTTCTCATCCTTCACTGAATAATACTCACTTGCACCACAAACAGATTTAATAGTGGCTTTCACAATAGCTATTGTTGACCCACCTAGGCTGATGTCTGACAATCCTTCGAGGAAAAATAGATGTACTTGGTTGGGTTAGAGGGTGTTTCTGAGTTCTTTCTTCCTATTGAATTGCATCTGGAACTTTTCCCTTACTGACCAGTGTTTAGTGGGCAAGTTTTATTTGATGAGAAACTGGCTCCAGATCCTTTGCCTCAACTCTTTTCTCTCTGAATTCCCTTTAGGGATCAAATTCAAGAATACCCTCTGCATTCAGTATTCACACACACACACACACACACACACACACACACACACACAAACACAAACTACACACACACAAAAAAAAAAAACCTTTTCAAAATCCCGAAACCCTCGAACATTTTAACTCACAGATGTGCAAACATTTAGGATTGCTCAGAAGCAGACACCTTTCTAAGGGGGACTTCTCTTYCCTGCTACTCCCAGGAGGAAGCAGAGCTGGAGAAGCACAGAGTAGAAGGTGGGTTGAATGAAAGCATGAGAAACAGCAGGGGTGAGAAGAGAAGTCAGCAGAGTCTGACCAGACCTGTTTAGCAAGACACATTTCCTTCCCTTTGCCTCTGGAATGTGCTCTCCTCTCTACTGTTCCATTCATCGGTGAATTCTTTGGGGGCCCCTTTCCTGGTCCTTCCCAGATCTCTGTCGTAGTCCAGATGTGCCCTGAGCCAGGGTGTTCAGCCTAGCCTGCATAGTCCCAGCTACTGTCCTGGGACTGTCTGATGCATTCATTTACTCCCTTCCTAAGCAGTTATTTAGTGGTCTGTGGGTAAGAGCCCAGTGATTCACCCTTCTTGACCAAAAAGAGCTTCAATCTAAGACAGGTGAACAATTAATGGTGATCAAGTGTTTTCAGGTATTAGAAGTAGGTTGTTGGGGGGCACCAAAAAGATGCGGCTGCCTCTAAGCCCAAGTCCCAAGACTCTCGTGCCAAAGTATATCCAGCAAGGAAGCAGGAGACCCACCCTCCTGGAGGGGAGCTGTAAGGTGTTGTGGGGGGAAACRCCAGATTCACGTCGCTGAAGAACTTCAGCTTCAGACCAGCTGACAGCGCCACCGGCAGCCCTGCCCAGCAAGCACCGCCCAAGAAGGGAGATCCTTGTAGGAATGACTCACTCGGCCACACTGCGGTCTGCAGCCGGAGGAGGACAGTGGGAGTCATTCTCTAGCTCAGAGAAGAGTTTGGATCACAATTTTTTTGTTTAATACCAAGGATTGAACCCAGGGGCACTTAACACTTGAGTCATATCCCAGCCCTGTGTGTGTGTGTGTGTGTGTGTGTGTGTGTGTGTGTGTGTTTTAAATTGCTTAAGGCCTCAATAAGTTGCTGAGGCTGGCTTTGAACTTGCAATCCTCCTGCCTCAGCCTCCCAAGTCACAGGGATCACAGGCTCCTTCCAAACCTAGTTCCTTGCTTGCAGCCCTCCCCGCTGCCCCCTGCCGCACTAGGTACTGCTGAGACTCGGGGCTTCTCTGGTTTCTGTGCTCTCTTGGCCTTCTGGCTGGCCCCTGCCCAGCATTCGTGTTGCACAAGGTCTCCTGGACAAGAGGGAGTTCTCTGGTTGCTGGATTCCCTACCCGTTTGCTGAATAAAACACCTCGGGACCCCACGGGGCGGGGACTCTGTTTCAAAGAGGAAGGTTCCATGGCTTTAGGAGCGGTGTGGGCAAGGGAGGGTAGGACTGGAGTTACCCCAGACCACAGCACTCCCACAGAGGAAGGCCGACTGACCTGCTTCTGTTAAAGACAGTCGCCTGTGGCCAGGATTCTACCCTACAGCTTGTATTCCTTGGCAGTTCCTAAATTAGCCTGTTCTCCTGCTGCATTCCCCTTCCTTTCTGACTCTGCAGAGTGCTCTTCTCCTGYTCTGTCTTGTGAAGAACGTCCGGGATCCTAGGGCGTTGGTCAGGAAATGCTCTGCGCCTCTGAACCTGGGCACWGGTATTTTAAGCCCCCGTGGTGCCCGACTCCTTTCCTGAGTTGAGGGTGGAGGTGGAATCSCATGTCCTCCTATGAGCAACTCAGTCAATTCAGTTCTCTTAGGTTGCTGGACTTCCAGAACAATCCAGGCAAGGCAGACTCCCTCTAGGTCCACTATGGGAACTGTTGTGGGGGTTGGGAGGTGAGCCGGATCTGGGCCGTGTAGGAAGAGAGGTAAAGGGGTGTGGTTCCCCTGGAATGCATCTCACGGTGGACCTTGAAGCATGAATCTGCTGTGTCTCCAAGAGAACTGCCTTGCAGATGAATCATGCCGGATTCTGGCCTCTAGCCTTCTCTAGAGTAGCATTCTTTGGCCTGCTCCGTCTCGTGCGGTTCTGGAAATTAAGGGGTGGACTTTACAATTCTTAAACATAATCACTGCATCCTCATGTTCACCATTGACACCTTTCCCTCTGTGAAAGGCAGCATTTATAAAGAGGCGTGTGTTGAACAGGCGTCTGTCAGCAGCAGGAACTGCACAGGTTCCTGTTGGCACTCACTCTCCAGCCTCTCCTTCCACCTAGGTTCAAAGCCTATCGTGATTCCTTTCTTTCTTTTCTTTTCTTTTTTTTWAAATTTTTTGTAGTATATTGCAATCTCCCATCAAGTTCACCTGTGCCCTATCCCATAGTGATTTTAGGTGATGTTGGTCAAAGCTTCTCTGTTAAGCCAAAACCCGCTGAGTTCCTAGGAAGTACCAGACACGGGTCTTAATGAGACTCATGCCCCCAGCACGTTATACCTGACTTGTTTCCTTTCCTATCTTCGTCTTTGCTCTCGGGAAACCCTCTTGCTCTCCCACTGCACCTGTGGGAGCTGCGCTTCTGTCTAGTGCTGCCAAAAATGTGTCAGGCCCCCAAAGGAGTTAGGCTGTACTGTTACTTATTCCTTCTCAGTGAACTAGATAATGAAATTTGGAGAGCTTGTATTCAGGTAGGGMAGCTGCGTTTTACTGTCTTCTTTATTGCAATAAATAATAAATTCAGAGCAAATAACAAGAAACACTTGCCCAGTGGACAGACTCATCTGTAAGCACATTTCTAAATCCTAGAATCAGACTGAACCAGGTTCCCATATTAAGCTTGGAGGATGGAGGATTTCACGTTAACCCGTCTCRATGGGGTAGGTTGTTGGTACTCAGCCATGTCTAAGGGTCTCATTTGCCAACACCAAGAGGAACAAAGAAGTAGATGGTCTTGCAGTGGGGGGCTTGGTCCGTTAAAAAGAGAGACCCTCAGTGGCTTGGGAGGCTGAGACAGGAGGACCAGCCTTAGCAACTTAATGAGACCCAAAGCCACTTAGTGAGACCCTGCCTCAAAATTTAAAAGATATAGAAAAAACAATAATATAAAGGACTGGGGATGTGGCTCAGTGGTCAAGTGCCCCTGGGTTCAATCCCGTGTACCAAAGGGGAGAGAGAGAGAGAGAGAGAGAGAGAGAGAGAGAGAGAGAGAGACCCGGACCTTGTTTTTCCAAATGATTAGAGCTTTTATTCTCTATTAGGTGATTTATGCAGAATTAGCTGGCAACCCAATAAATCTCTCATTCAGGCCTATTTCTATCAGTGAGAAATTCAAAAACTGGGGGAACTTGGCCCTTAGACACATRGAGTTTTACAGACACGTTGAGTTTTACAGCTGGAAAGAATCAAATGAAGCCAGGTACGGTGGTGCACACCTGTAATTCCAGTCACTTGGAAAGCCGAGGCAGGAGGTTCCCAAGTTCATGGCCAACCTGGGCAACTATCTCAAAAAATTAAGATAAAATGCTGTGTGAATGTATGGATATGGAATAGTGAATCCCACTATGATGTATGATTATAATGCACCCATAAAAACTTTTAATTAAATGAAATCACATTTTTTTAAAAAAAGGGCTGGGTTGTAGCTCAGTGGTAGAGCATCCCTGGGTTCAATCCCCAGTACCTCCCCAAAAAAGAATCCAATGGGTTATCTAATCACCCTCCTTCCAATTATCCTCAAAAGACCAGCTGTACATTTGGCTTAAAAGTTAACGTGAACTTTGTTTCTTTTCACCCTTGGACAGGTTCCAGCAGACTCCCTCAAGATGCCGTCTCAAATGGAGCAYGCCATGGAGACCATGATGTTCACGTTTCACAAGTTTGCCGGAGACAAAGGCTACCTGACCAAGGAGGACCTGAGAGTCCTCATGGAGAAGGAGTTCCCTGGGTTTTTGGAAGTAAGTGTTGAAGGGTTCAGAAAGAACCAGACCTAAAAGTCAGTACTTCCTTCTCCTTCCTCTTCCGTCCCTCCCCAGGGGAGCCACTACTGGAAAGYTCTTTTTATTCACTTGTTTACCGAACAGTATTGGATACTGTGAAAGTGCTGCAGGGAAACAAAATGAAGAAGACACAACCCCTGCCCTCGAGGAGTTGTAACTCACAGATGAAATAGAACTACACACGGATGTGTCCATAAAATGCCACCTGGAGTTCCCCCCACAGTGTGAGTGTGGGGGAAAGAAGGCTTTTCACAAGAACACATTCACGGCCACCTTCAGGTTCATGAACCCGATGCCACATCCCGGTCACACTCCCCTTTGAACAACTTGAATCTCCGTGTGTGTGCACACGCGTGTGTGTGCGTGAGCGCACACATGCTGGGGATGAACCATGTGCATACCTCACACTTGGTAAGCAGATGCTCTACTGCCAAGTAGCACTCCTACCTCCAATCTCCCTTCTTAAATCCTTTCAGACAAAAGAG